ACAAATAAATAAATCTTTAAAAAAAAAAAAATAAATAAATAAATAAATAAATAAAGAGTTTAGTGCATATTTCCTTTTGCTAGTAAAAATCAGTAATCATTATTTTTATGAAATTATAAGTATAGCATTTATTGAGAAAAAATGCATACTAGTAATAGATATAAATCTTGTGATATTATGTCCTAAGCATTGCTTCCTGAAAAACATAACGAAGCGTTTTCATTGTACTGTTTAAATTAATAATACAAAAAATCCTACAAGTTTTGCAGACAACTAAAGTGTGACATTGAGAGGTTTAACTGCTAATAGTCTCACAGCTAGAAAGCAGCAACGCAAAGGTGTAAGTTCTAGACTCCAGAATTTATTGTATTTTTAAAGATTTATTTAATTATGAATAGAGAAATGGGGTACAAGCCAGTGGAGCAGGGGCAGTGAGAAGATTCACCAGAGACAGAGTGGGGAGCACAACAGGCAGATCCATGAAGTACACTGCTGAGGGGAGCAGCGGCCCGTCAGGCGAGGTCTGCTGCCATGTGGATCACCTCCAGGCAGGGATCAAACTTGCACTGAAGTGGCTTGCAGTGCTGCATCCTTACCTGTTGCACCACCAGGGAGGGCCAAAATTTAATCTTAACCTTTACACTATGTCTTAGTTTGTTTAAAATATTAGCCTCAAAAAATATTAACTTTTTAGCGATCACATAAAAATTAGAATTCAAAAGTACTGTACCACAAAATATTTTTTAAAAGTACTGTATCAGAAAAAAAAAATACAGTAAGTTTTAGCACAGGAGAATGTGTCAACTTCACCATACTAAGAGAAATGCAAACTAAAACTTTACTGAGGTGGGGCAATTTCATTACATACACTCTTCTATATTGTTGAGGCAGGTATAAATTAGTACAGACTAATTTATGGAAAGGTATTCAGCAACAGCAGTCCAAATTACAAATATTCCTAGTTTGACACAGGAGCAGGCTTTTAGTAATTTATCCTGTAGACATATACTTGGTATATCTCTATGTAAAAAATTACTATCACATTATGTTTTTCCAAGTAAAAGGCTGGAACATTGTAATTAGAGTTGGCTAAATAAATCACAGTGTATCTTTGCAAAAGATAACTATACAGCTATAAAAAAAGAATTAAGTTGACTCACAACCTATCATATAAAATAATTTCTAGGAGATAGTGTTAAGTGAAAAACTCAAGACAGCACTATGTGTGTGTGTCTGTGTGTGTGTATAAACACATATATACAAAGTAACTATATGTGACGGAAGATATTCATATATAAAGTATTTCTGGTTGAATATACAAGTAACTAAGAAAACGGTATCAGTGGCTACTTCATGGGAATAAAAGTCTTTACTGAATATATGTTTCTGTACTTGAGTTTTGTACTATATGAATAAATGCAGAGCCTATTCAAAACACAACTTTTCTCTATATAAATGGGAAAAAACTTTTAAGATGGGGGAACTCTTCCTATATGGATAAAAGTATGCATTTGACTTTTTTTTTAAAAAAAAGATTTATTTATTTATTCATATAGAACTGGGGTACAGGCCAGAGATGTGGAGGGTTGAGAGGATTCACCAGGGACAGATTGGGGAGCAGAACAGGCAGATCAACGAAGTGCACTGCTGAGGGGAGCAGCGGGCGGGTCAGGAGAGGTCTGCCGCGCCATGTGGTCACCTCAGGGGCAGGTGGGGATGAACTCATGCGGAAGTAGCTTTTGCTTCATGGTGCTATGTTTTAACCCGCTATGTCACCAGGGAGGGCCAACTTTTTAAAAATTTGAAGAACCTATAGAATATGCTATCTTTTGTGCAAGAAAAAAAATCTAGTTAACAGTCTCAGTTCTATGGAAATAACTAAGTCATGCTAGGATCATCAATGGACACTAAAAGCATCAGGTGAAAAGTTACTTGGGAACAGCACACTCTTGTGGCGCAAAAAGGTACTACACATATTATCTGCTAAACAGAAAAGGAAAAAGTATCTACTCACAAATAGTCAGGAAAACTTGTAACACATAATGTTATATATATATGAGAATTAGCCGCCTATTAAAAGGGGCTCAAGTGCAATAAATGGATCTCAGAATGGACTGGGCTTTAAAAATATATATATAGCATCTTAGAGAAATGTTAACATAGCTGGGTGTTATATAGGATTGTGGAATTGTCAATTTTCCTACATTGCTATATAGGAAATAGTCTTATTTTTAAGAGATATGTGCTGAAGGACTTATGCATAAAGTATGATATCTGTATAAACTTTGAGAACGTTCAACCAGCACATAAAGATTGGTAAAAAAAAAAATGTATCACTAATATTTAAAGACCACTGAATATTTAAAGACCAATGTATCACTAATATTTAAAGACCAGCTGTAGTATTTTCTCTTTTCTTTTTGTATATTGAACATTTTCTTAGTAAAAAAGTTAAAGGGTAAAAAAAGAAAACCAGAATTTTAAGTCATAGTGATTTAAATATTATTTTATTTTAAAATGTGATTGAAATTTTAAATAACCTACTTATTTAAGATAATTCCACAAAGAAATACCATTATCAAAAAATATTAGTCCAACAAATAAATGCATAAACAATGAAAACAGACTTTAAAAAACTGTCATTTAAATAGTAATTATTGATTACTATACCACAGCCCAGTCTGTTTAAAAAGTAATAAATACATGGACTCACTGCTCTGCAGAAATCTTTTCTAACATGAAAAAAAATCATCAGTGAATGCTAAAACCAATGGCTGAAAAATGTGCTAGAGAACAGGATATTTACAGTATCAGGTAACTCCCCTCCCCCATATTATTCATTAATTCTGAAGAGAATATTGTAAGTCAAATATCTTTTTGATATAGATACACAGACAGTAAAGATACAATATTTCTGCCAAAATGTAGTAAATTCAATCTAATTATGAAAGGATATAGCTGAAAAATATACTGGTATTCAATATATGTCTTGTGAGCTTGAGTTTTGTTTTTTTTTTTTTTTTTTCAAAATAAAATGTGAGTGAAAATTATTAAAGATGTTAAACTTAAGTACAAAATTAATTCAAAGAAAAGCAAAGAAATATAAAATTTTCCTATGTATTTATAAAGAACAAATTAATGATAAATGAGAGCAAAGGTCTTAATTAGCAAAACAAATACAGGTATGGATAAAGAACAATGGACAGCTTTGCTAATTTCAGTGACAAGATGTTCAAGCAAAAAAAATATGTAGCAAAAATCATTAATTTTACTTAAGCTAATTCAAAAGATAATTGCTTTCTTTGTTCAACTAAAAAATTGTAGCCTCATTATAAGATACTCAGTATTAATAAAAAATAAAGTTTTAATTATGTTTTGATTTTCTCAAGTCTTGCATTATATGCTGGGAAGCTATTAAATATCTACTTATGACCCAGGCTGTGAACTAGAGAGTAGGCTGGGAGAGGAAACAGTCCTTATTCTCTAGGAGAGAAGGATAACTAGCTAATTAAGTGATCATGGGATGGTAGAGGACCCTTTAAGAAAGGCAGTTAACCTAGGACAAGGGAAGTAGAATGGCAAGACTTTACAGAATGGGTATAGGTTGATGAGAAAGACTAAATTATCCAAAAAAAGGTGGTAGAGCATGAGAAACAAACAGCAACTTGGAAGCTGACTACAAGTTCAATGAGGGGCTGACTACAAGTTCACTAAGGAGAGCTGGAATATATTTCAAGAGATATAAAGAGTTACACAATCAAGAAACTATACTTTTTTTTAATGAATTCCATGATATACCCTTCCATTTGTTATACCACAGCTCAGTCTGTTTAAAAAGTAATAAATACATGGAGTCATTGGTCTGCAGAAATCTTTTCTAAAATGAAAAAAAAAGAAAAAAAAGAAAAAGGGTAGAAACACCAGTCCTGGAAACCTTGATTATTCCAGAATCTTAGGTTTATCCAAGAAAAGCAACATTATTAAGAGGCAACACAGACCTTTTACTGAGCTCATTAGATTTAGCTCTCAAAAGGATTTTAACATTTTTCTTTCCTATAATATCTCATTACAATTTTAGCCAGTGGACCAAGGTTTTATTCAAAACAGTAAAACTGAAAAAGTACTTAAATATATATATATA